ATGGCTTCTTTTGGAAGAAATTAAAAATCAAAAAGTAGAAAGCAGAAAAATTCAGCAGTGGCGGCAAAAAAATGAAAACAATCCGCCGCCGGCTATTGCCACCGCAGCAGCGGCCGCCGCCATTTCCACTCCGTCAGCCTCCACGCGGCGGACTGTTTCGCTCTTTTCTTCTCGCTGGCTGATCAACTTCCTTTCTTTCTCTCTCAACGTGGTCCTCCTCAACAGCTCACCACTTTCAGGTTTGTTCTTTGCCCGTTTTCGGGTTTTCTCGGGTCCCGAGACCACTCAGCCCCGGTCAACAAGTCACTAACCGTAGGCTTTTTCTTCCTTCTATATTGTACCCGAATCTCTTCCTCTGCTGCTGGCAACGACACTCACCGCTGTTCACACTTGTCATCTGTTGTTCCATTTCAATTTCTATTTCTCGGACTTCATCTTCGCCACTTCCACCACTCCCACCACCACCAGAATGCCTGGTATGCAAGTCAAGCCCCTGCTGATCGACGGCCGCGGCCACCTGCTCGGTCGCCTGGCGTCGATCGTCGCCAAGACCCTCCTCCAGGGCCAAAAGGTGATTGTCGTCCGCTGCGAGGGCATCAACATCAGCGGCAGCTTCTACCGCAACAAGCTGAAGTACCTCAGCTTCCTGCGGAAGAAGTGCAACGTCAACCCCGCCCGCGGCGTCTACCACTACCGCGCCCCGTCGAAGATCTTCTGGCGAACGGTTCGCGGCATGATGCCCCACAAGACCCGTCGCGGCGACGCCGCCCTGGACAATCTGCGCGTCGTGGAGGGCATTCCCCCGCCGTATGACAAGAAGAAGCGCCTGGTGGTGCCCGCCGCGCTGCGCACCCTGCGCCTGAACCCGCGTCGCAAGTTCTGCGAGCTGGGTCGCCTCTCGCACGAGGTCGGCTGGAAGTACCAGGGCGTCATTCAGTCGCTGGAGGTGAAGCGCAAGGCGAAGGCCAACGTCCACCACGCCCGCGTCGTGAACGAGGCGAAGCTGCGCGAGCAGGCGAAGAAGCTGGTCGAGGCGAGGACTGCCGAGCTGCGCAGCACCATCTCCTCCTTTGGATATGCTGTCTAATGTCTACAAATCCTCCTCCACCACCTCGCTTTTTGTCCTACATCCTCCCAACAAATAAAAACAAACTGATAAAAGCCCACTTGAAATTGTTTTGAATCTAGGTTTTTGGTTTCAGACCAAAGAGAAATGAGATTTGCAAGCGGTAATTACAAAAGAGGTGTTGCTTTTTATTCGGTTTTGGGTGTGTTGACAAAAGGTATCTCTCTAAGCGGTCTCCATCGCCACCGACTCGTCGGTGTGCTTGCCCTTTGCCTTGCCCTCCGCCAGGCGCTTGCCTTCGGCCCTTCGGTCGAGGATCTGCTTGCGGTCCTTGTCCATCTTCAGCTTGACGATCACGACCTGAAATAGGAGAGAGAGAGAGGATTGTGTTATTCAAAAGATGTTATGGACTACAGCGAAGCCCTTACCTTTGAGGGGTGAATGCCGACGTAGACGGTGGCGCCGTTGGCCTTCTCCCGCTGGACGCGCTCAATGTAGATGACGTACTTGGAGCGGTAGCAGCTGACCACCTTGCCGAACTGGGGGCCCTTGAAGTGGCCGCGGACGACCTGGAATCAGGAGCAATTGGTAAATAGAATCCAAAATGACACATCTCCACCACACTTACCTGGACCTCGTCGTCCTTGCGGATGGGCATGGAGCGGACGCCGTGCTTCTGGCGGAGGTCCTTGCTCAGCGGCGCGCTCATGATGCGTCGGCGCAGGTGGGAGGGGGCGTTGAAGTGCGCCTTGCGGTTCTTCCGTCGCGAGGACGTCACCAGTTTGTTCATCTTTGCCATTTCGAAGCGGTCGTGTAGTGCTGCTGGTCTGGCGGCGACTGGTGCCCAAAGACGGATGGATGGTGGTGAGCTCTGTGGAGGTAGTCGGGTGGTAAATTAGATGGCGGAAAGTTAGATCGGCGGAAGTGGGAAAAAGCCGGGCCCTGGTAAAGGTAGAACCAGAAAAAGCGGCGGCGGTAACACTTACGTGAACAAAACTCGCAGCGAAAAGAACTCAGCGGAAGAACAACAGCAGCCGCTGCAGCATGTGAGTGGGGGCGCTCGTAGAGGACGGCAGATTTTAAAAAAGGCGTCCCGAGGTGGCGCCAGGTGTTCCGTAGGCAGAAGCGAAAAAACGGTGACACGTACTCTGCGACGGATTTGTGAATCAGCACAAAATGAGATTCTCTTCTGTTTCTCTGTTTTGAAGTTTGCTTCTCGCTCTGCTGACTGAATTTAAAGCCACTGTTTTGTTGTTGTTGATCTCCTGCGATTAAACCTCCTGTTCCAGGAAGGAAGTTCCAAGAAGAGAGGAGAGTTTGAAAAAGAGTCCAAAGAAGCAGTGTTCTAAATACAGAGAAAGAAGGAAGCACCAAGAGGTAAACATGGTTTTGGAAAGTACGGTCATCTGGTAAGTTAGAGACAGATGTGTGTTCTCCCTGAAACTGACGTTTCTATTTCTATTTCACATGATCACCTCCGAACTCCTCTCATCACCACCCTCACCTCAGCGTGGACAACAGCGAGTTCATGCGAAATGGCGACTTCATCCCGAATCGCCTTCAGGCTCAGCAAGAGGCCGTCTCGCTGGTCTGCCACGCCAAACTGCGCTCCAACCCGGAGAACAACGTCGGCCTGCTGACGCTGGCCGGCCACCCCGAGGTCCTCACCACGCTCACCACCGACGTCGGCCGCCTGCTGGGCAAGCTCCACCACGTCACCACCGACGGCGAGATGAACTTCCTCAGCGGCCTGCGCATCGCCCACCTGGCGCTGAAGCACCGCCAGGGCAAGAACCACAAGATGCGCATCGTCATCTTCGTCGGCTCGCCGGTGGACACCGACGAGAAGGAGCTGGTGAAGCTGGCGAAGAAGCTGAAGAAGGAGAAGGTCAACGTCGACGTGGTCAACTTCGGCGAGGAGCTGGTGAACACGGAGAAGCTGGCCGCCTTCATCAAGACGCTGGAGGGCACCGGCTCGCACATGGTCACCGTCCCCTCGGGCTCGATGCTCTCCGATGCGCTCTTCAGCTCGCCGGTGGTGATGGGCGAGGACGGAGCGGCGGCGGCCGCCGGCCTGGGCCCCGGCTTCGAATTCGGCATCGACCCCAACGAGGACCCGGAGCTGGCGCTGGCGCTGCGCGTTTCGATGGAGGAGCAGCGACAGCGCCAGGAGGAGGAGGCCCGAGCGGCCTCAGTGGCCACGGCTGCTGCCGCAGCCGGCGGAGCTGGAGAGACTGCAGCGAGCAGCGATGCTGCCGCTGGAACGTCTTCAGCTGGGGCGGCCACTTCTTCCGGCACCGCTGGCCCATCAACTTCGGCTGAAGGTGGTGCTGCTGCTTCGACTTCAGCCCCTGCCGCCGCCGCCCCGATCGGCACCACCGAGGAGGAGATGCTGGAGAAGGCGCTGGCCCTGTCGATGGAGAGCGACTTTACCGGCGGCGGCGGAGCGGGCCGCAGCGTCGACTTTGCGGCGATGACCGAGGACGAGCAGATTCAGTACGCCATGCAGATGAGCCTTCAGGCGCCACCCGAAGACAAGGGCGAGGAGGAGGAGGAGCCGATGGAGACCGATGACAGCAGCTCAGGGGCGGAAAAGGCCGCCGACAAAAAGTGATCCTCTTCTACAGCTGGTGGTTTCTTCTTTTCCCATTTCGTGCTTCGAAATTTCAAAGCCAGAGCAGAGTCCTCTCGGCAAGGCAAAACTTCTACTCTGTACATTTAACTCCCCCCGCACCTTACCTTATCTTACCATTTTTATTATGCTCGCTAACACTTTATGAATAAAGGATAATTTGTGGAGTTTCTTTGGAGTTTGATCGGGTTGATTTGAATTTCGATTTCGGTGTGTTGCTCCTTAGGCGATCTGTCCTGCCTCCAGTGGGGCCATTCACTGTAGGCGTGACAGTGACACACAGTGAGCTTTGTTTTGGTTGTGATTTTTTCTCTTGCGCTGGTTTTCTGCTGTGACGACGGTCTTATCACCATCACCACTGCTTCCTCCACTCTTCAATGTCTTCTCACCAGCAATATCAACACCACCACCACCACCACCACAACACCTCCTATGGTTCAGCAAAGAGTCGGTCTTCAGCAGCATCAGCATCAGAACAGTATCATAGCCCTCTACCAGCAGCAGCAGCAGCAGCGCAACCGAAGCAATATCATCACCCCCAACACCAGAGGATGAACATCGAGGTGGGGCATTTTGTGGTCGACCTGCACGGCCAGGTGGCCGATGTAAGTGCCTTTTAGAAGTGGTCTCTTGTTTACTTTTGTGATTTACTAAAACGGGGTTTTCTTTTTTTAGATGTCAGGCGACTTCACCTCGAACAAGCTCGCCGTGGAGACGCTTCTGACCGTGGTGAAGGAGATGCGCCTGCACATGGTCATGAAGCTGACCAAGGATCAGTTCAAAGTTCTCACTGGTTAGTGACACTCATTTTAAGCCGTCATGTTCATCCTCGACTAATCTGGTTCTTTTTTCTCTTTCCATCCGTTTTCCAAACATCTCTTGAACTCATCATCATCTTCATCATTACCACTGCGCAGTTCAATTTCCCGACCACTACTACAAGGTCAACTTCTGGGCGGACTGCGCGGACGTGCGCAAGTACAAGATGCACAAGGCCGACCTGCAGTCGACCGGCTCGCCGGCAGTTAACGTTTGAGGAGAAGACGAAGAAGAAGACGAAAAATGATAAGAAGAGTCGTTTCGAGAAGATTTCGAAATCGCAATTTTTTCATCTGAGAAGAAAGCAGTGGACGGGAGATTCTCTACCGATTACCTCCGCTATTCAAATAATTATTCCATTATTCCTAACTTCTTAACACTTCTTTACTGTTATCATTTGATTTTGAAAGATTACAAAGAAAAAAGGAGAGAGCTGCTGTACACTTTCTACGACTTCTTCAGTACTTCTTGTAGACGGCCGTCGTCGTCTGGCCGAGGGTCTTTGCCAGAACCCGATAGCGATCGGTCTCGATGCCCAGGACCATGGAGTTCTCGCTCTCGTTGTCGTTCAGCTTCGCCAGGTGCTTGCTGATGCGCACCAGCGTCGAGCTGAGGCCCTTGTCGGCGGCGCCGGTGGCGGTCAGGCAGAGGCCGTGGCTGTCGGCGGCCAGGTACCCGATGATGCCGTTCTCCTTGACTCTAAAAAGTTAAAAAGATTGGTTAGAATTCGAAATAGAACATCAGCCGATTTAGAGGGCGGATATTTTCTTTTCCAACTAGAAAAAGCACTTACGCTTCGCCTGCCACTTCCTCGAGCTCCTTTTCCATGCTGGTGATGATGATGAGGATGAGTTTTTTGAGCTGGTCACGAAAACCTTCTTCTTCTTGAGAGGGCGTATGTGCAAATGTCTTCAAGAAAAACAGAAAGACTGTCAAAGTCACTGCTTTCAGGCTGACGCAAAACAACAACAACACAGCTGATATTTTGACACACGCTCTCGGGGGAGGCGCTTTGGGTGGCAGTAGCCGCCGAAAAGCAGCAGCAGCAACAGAAGCGAACGCGCGCGCGCTATTTTCGCCGCTGCTTCTTTTTCGAAGGTTCTAAATTCTCTCGCAAGTTTTTTTCTGGTTTTCAAATCTTAAAAACTTCTTTTTCTTCTTTTGATGACACGGACTTTTCCCTCAACCACTTCCAATTCACTGGACTTTGCTCTCTGGATGACAAACAACAGCAGAAGTTGCTGCCCAACCTTCTTCTCACGCTGGATCTAGTGCACACTCGGTAAGTGACTTTTTTCTTTCTTTTTTTCGCCTTGAGTTTGAAGGTCGCCCTTGTCAAAACACACACACACACACCTTCTCTTCTTGCTTTGTGGCTTCAAAGCTAAAGCTCAATCTTCGTCTTTTGCTTGTCCTGCTTTTCTTGCACTTCGTGCACTTCTGCAGCTGACTTTCTAGGTCAGTGTCGGACGGTGGTGATGGCCGTCCAGACAGACCGGTTGCGCCGTGCGACGATCTATTCAAGGTGACGGTGTGGTAAAATGTGGGACTCAGCTGAGCAAAGTGAGAGAGCAGCTTGAGAGCTTCAGAAGCAGAGAACAACAAGCCAACAAAAATGGCGCCCCAAATGATGGTAGGGTTAAATCCTCTCCCATCTCTCTCACATGGAGCTAAAAATGATCTCCATTGCCACCACCATCACCACCACCACGACGACGACCACGATGTCGACGACCAACAATCGCTGACCTGATCACGATGGCAGCGGTGATAAGGCGCTTTTCTTTTTCTCCACTTCAGCGTGTTCAGTGCCTGCAGTGGTGGTACCATTTCCCAAACGGGTTCACCTCTCCAATTGAGTGTTGTCCCCTTCTCCCCTCAACTACTGCTACCACTGACCTCGAATGCTCAATTTCTTCTTCTTCTTCTTCTCCTTTTCGTTTTGATCTCCTCCGTCGATATCATGAGCTAGCCTCCTTCTTCTCCACCGCCATCTTTTCCCTGCTGCGCTCTCTCCTCTGTCCCCATTCTGTTCCCCATACTTTCGGTGTGTGATCGGTGCATTGAGCGTTGGTGTGACCGCCACCACCATCATCACTTGCGTTCCCTGTTTTAGATCCTTGCAGCAGCAGCAGCTCATGTTTTATTTTTATACACGCACACTTTTCATTATTACTTTTTCTTTATTGCTTCTAAAATGGTCGACGCAGCACCTATCCTTTTCGGGTAGTAGTAGTGGTGGCGGTGGACGGTTTTAGCTCTGGCCTGGCATTGGCCACCTCTGCTATTCCATTTTTTCGTTTGTTCACTTTTCATTGGCGTTCATTGCTGCTAGCTGATAGTAGATTTCACAGTATTCGAAGTGTTATAGAACTGAGCACTTCTTGCGCTTTTTCTGTTTGTTGTCTGGCAATCTTTTTTTCGTTTGCCTTCTTTTTGCTTTGTTTATTTATTTACTTACGAACCAGGCAAACAAAGGGGATAGATCCTTCGTCTCTAAATTGCAATTATTATTGCTTGCGCTCAGCTCCACGAGACTGCACATTTTGTCCTTTTCTTTCTTTCCTGCTAATGTAATGAGGATTACCGATCAAGTTTTGCCCTCTCCCGTTAGCTGCGACGATTTCGCTGGACGGGCGAAATAGCTGGACGGGAGAATCCTGAGCGGAAAATTTCCTCAATTTCCCATACACTTCAATCCAGTCTAATCTATTGCCATAGAGTCTGTCTATTTGGCTGCCATATTTTCTCTTGCTGCTTTTGTTTTTTCAATTAGCAGCTCATCATATCAGCTAGCCCCCTTCGTTCACTTTGTTCAGTTCAGTGCAGTGCCGTTGGTGAAACAGTTCAGTTCAGTCCCGCTAATTGAATCGCGCACTGTGTACCCCCTTCTCCCTTATTCTCTCTTCCTTTGTTTTGTGCAAATCATGCAATGTAATGCAGTTACTGCTGGTGCTGATCAGCAGACAGAGAGGATCCCCTGGTGCGATCTTTTTCCTTTCTTTTCCTTCTCCCTCTTCTTTTCGGCTTATGTCATTCTGCCTAATTGCCCAGCGATTGCCGAGCTTAGCTGCTGCTGCTGCTTCTGGTGCGACCTTTCTCTCTTCCCTTTAGTTTAGTTCAGTTCAAATGGAAAGGAGCTCGGAAGCACTGGAAACCCTTTTCTCGTACACTGCTGCTGCTGCTGCCTGGGAACGTTGCCACCATCATCCTAATTTCTTCTCGTTGCTTCTTTTTTCGCCCTTCTCTCTCTCTTCCTAATCGATCGTCGTCGTCGTCGATTGCCCGGACTATTAATAGTGCAGGCACTGGCACTGTCAGGCCTTTACTCTCTCGTTTTTTTGCTGCTGCTGCTCTTGTCTATCTATCCCATCCATGCCATCCTACTAAGTAATTTATATCGGCCGCCTAGTAGTGCTCTCTCTCTCTCTCTCCCTTTCCTACCTGTCACTCCATTGCCCTGTCACTCTCCTCTCTGTCTTTGCCTACTAATGATGCACCCATTTCACCTGACCAATAACACAGGCAATCGGTGTTGTTGTTGGTTCAGAACAGACAACAACCACAGCGTTGCTGTACGGCACTCTACTGCTGCTGCTGCTGCTGCTTTAGTTCCGGTCGGATTGAACTCGACTGAGCTCTCTGTACGATAATCGTATTTTGGTGCTGATGGGGAGGTAGCTTCAGCCAAACGAGCTCGCTCTCAGCTGAGTCATCCCCGACGGTTTGATTAGAGCACTGAGCAGCAACAACGGCAGCATCAGAAATTAGTGCAAAGAGGGAGCGATATCTGCACTGAAGAGGAGGAGGAGACTTTGTCGCCAACGCACTACATAATTTGCCTTTATAATCTTGCGGATATTTTTCTTCTTCCCATCTCACTCACTCACTCTGTGTGTGTTTGGGTTGGTCAGCACATGTGCTGCTGTTTGTAGTGGTGGTGATCTTTCCGCACTCGCTCACACTTACACTACTATACGTCAAACGGAATTCCTCGTTTAGGGAAGTGAATGTGTGGTGGTGGTGGTGTTGGCGATCAGTGCCACCAAAGCACTGGCTGCTGTTTATCGCCTCTGCTGTTGCATCCTAATCAAATGCTCAGTGTGTCTTTTCCTTTCCTTAGTGCTTTGCTGGTGGTTTCCCTTCTCTCGGTGACTGACTTG